GCACGCATCATGTGTCTTTTTTTTTTAGGTTTTCTCTTAACTAGGGTTGCCTGGAAGAGATCGCTTATTAGCGATAAGGCCGCCCGTTGCATCTCTTATAATTTTTATGTATTGTGTTTCTTATATTATTAGCAACGAAGTGTAAATAAATAAAAAATAAAATCTAGACCCTTGAAACTAGCAAGTCTCATTAAGGCATATTCACCTCAAGTATGTCAAAACAATTTGTCCGTCGCACTTTACTCACGACCTACGCAGGGTCATGTCATGACAGATTGTTTGCTCTAATACTCCTTTATATAAAACATTATTAATATAACATTTTTATTAAACAATAATTATAGCACAAGGCTAATTTGAAAGATATAGATTCCTTTCGAAATGGGGCCACAATATACTTCGTGATTAATTTTGTAACGGTAACAGCCCTATCCGAGTCTCAAATCAGATTGCTATGTCAAATGCAAGTGTGTCAGGTCAATGTACAATGCAGACATAAACTTAGGTCGAATCGTGATCAATGGTAACGTTTCTAGATTTCACATCAATATTTAGACTGAGTCTCGTAGGTCACTACCTAAAGCTCACGTTTAAAGTAACTAGAGTTTTGTTAAATAAAACCTACGATCTCTTTGGCCCCTTAAACAAACGAGTGGACGCGATAGTAGTAACCGAGTTGTGCGGGTAGACCAACAAAGAGCCACAAAGTCTGTAGTTATCACAAACAAAAGCACACTCTAAACAGCGCCTAAAACAATAGGTATTCATTAAAAATATAAGTATATTCTTCGCTGGCTTTTTATCGCTTAATACTTGGTCAAATTCATGGCAAACATACAGCCAAATGATATAATATAGAAGTCTGATCTAAATCCCACAATCTAAGCAAAAACACTAATTGAAATTTATATAAAACAACACAAACAACAGGAATAAACCTATACGATTGATTTACTTCAAACTGCTCTTCTCGAACTTTTATACAAACTATTAAATACATTTTATACAATAACTATTATAACGTGAGTAACAAACGTTATACTAAATATGCATTTAAAATCGAGAAAATTTTCAAAGAATTTGCAATAATATGAATAATGAAATAAGTAATAACTATAATTTACGGGTTTATTAAACGAGAAATCAAAAAAAAGTTGCCAAGTTATGAAGCGGTCAAAATTCGCAAGCTATAAAACTTAATTACTTTCAGTTTTTATGTAGTGTTAAATTGTTAACATCGCTTCAAAGTAATTACAATTCGATACAAATAATTAAATGGTTTTGGGTGTTTAGAATTCGTGGCTCGTGAAGGGCGCGTAATGCCGAGTCATGGGCGGAACAGCCTTGAACTGGCATGTACCACAATCTAATCATGTGGAACCTACTTGACCACTTCTTTACTCTCAAAGACAATAAACGTAAAAGCACCTTGACAGGTTTCAAGAAAAATCTAAGAAAGAGTGGTGTTAGTTCAATAATAACGAGTGGATATGCAAATTATAGTTGGGTTAAACGAATACAGAGCATTCAAAAATGTATTTATAATCTTCAATACGTATATTATACATACTACTCAAAACATAGACTAACTTTTATTCCATGACATGTCTAATGTTAACTCATCTGATAAGTTAACTCATCTCCTTAATACGAAGCCTTTGATACACAAACAGACGGGGCACAGAAAAATAGATTAGTTTCTTATAGAATTAATAACGTTGATTCCGTATAAGAAAAGAGGCTACTTTCATGCCGATATCGTGATTCATAAATCGTATTATTGTATATATATGAACTTCCACAATTTATTCTAATGCCCTTCCCTATCGTCTAGACACTATTGTAAACAAGAATTAAATTAATTAAAACATGTTTATTATTGTTATATCGACCGTCGCCTTGCATACAATAACATCGGCATGCGTAAGTGGCGCTGAGCATACTACGAATTACATTTAATTAGACTAATTGTTACCCCTGTATTCGACATTAACATTTATTTGACAAACTATTGGAAAAATTACATGGTTCTGTTCCTTAAAATATTTGCATAAAAATAAATGTAGACTATTCTTTACAATAAAAAATGTGTTGTTGCTAAAACTAGCCTCCTCCGAATCTTTTCCAGTTTTCAAGAAAAGTGACAGAGGTTTCTAAGTATATCTTAATGGGTTCAAGAAAAGCTGTGGCTAGCACAATCAATGTACGTAAGTTAAAAGCGCTATAGCGCGATGAAGCGACCATATAATATGTATTACAAGATCAATGCTGTAGCTTTGTAGTTGCGTCGCCAAACCGCTATTAATAAGGAAAAGCAGTAAGGGCTATGGGCTACATCACCAACTGTGTAAGCAAAATGAAAGCATAATCCGAATTCTTATATTCCCACTGAAACTCTTTAAAGAAACAGCTGAGATAGTCGAAATATTATATAATTGAAAGCTATCGAAAACCTTGAAAAATAATTGCGAACCTGGGTTCTTAACCATTGTTCCAAATCATTTGTTACGCGAGACGATCAGTACAGCGCATCAATTGATGATATAATTTTATATTAAACCTTAAACTAAATAATCTTTAAATTTTAACTACACTTAATGCTCGAATAATCCTTTATATTGTTAATAGAATTGTTTTAAAAATGTTATTAACCAATCTTGAAATGTATGACCTGCTTGACAGCTGACGATTAGATAACAGGAATAAGCGATACACAAACAAACGTTGACGTGTGATAATATCTATTGATTATTTAGTAGGGTCAATTCTATTTCATGTTTAAAAAACCGGTACAGATGCTATTGTACGATTATTTCGTGACGGCTGTGTCTTACGTTACATGGGTTGAAACCAAAATACATTCGAAACAGATGTCAATATGGGTAATACTTACATTAAAAATGGATAAAACAGGAGGAGCTAGTAGTTGTGTAGTTTTCATAGAATTTATTTATTTATGCGTGCAAAATCTTTTTTATTTTACACTTTGCATGTTCAATTATATGATAAAAATTTAATTCACTAAATTATACTTATTATTGTATATGAATGCCAGTTTTTGATAGCAATATTAAACCAAAACAGTAAGTCTGTTGGAATTTAATAATTAATAAATGTAAATTAAGCTTTTACATATTGTAAAGAAATCTATTACGGCAAGTTTTCAATACCATATTAAAACAAATACTATGGTATTAAAAATTCACATTTTGAAAACACCTTTCCACTATGAATCACTTAGGTAGGATTACTTCATAGTGATATCATGTATTCATAAGTACATAAGATATAGAAATATAGACAAGTGCAATTTATGTGCAATGGTTATAAGAAATATGACTAATATTAAATTAAAATGACATGTGTTTTAAAAGTTATTTTACATGGGGCTAGTTTTCTTTTTACCAGAATAATTGTAATTGAGGTCACAGGCAGACTAACTTTTAGTTTAGCATAAGAAATGTCTAGGTAGTAAAGGTAAAATAAACTATTGTAGATCCTAAAGTGAAAACCCAATATTTTAATGATTTAAGATTATTTAGACACTGTAGGATAATACCAATTTATGGACAAGTATATTGTTATGTGTTTTCCCTAAAATCTTTTTTTTTTCTGTGTTTTTTTGTTTCTATTAACTCATTAGTTTGTAAGGAATTTTGGAACCACTGGTGTAGCCCTTCAGGCCCTTTAGGCAGGTTAAACTCATTAGAGGTTTAAGCAAAATTAAAAATAAGAAAGTAAAAAAAAATTAAACACTATAATGAATTATCTTTACGTGGATGTAAAGTTTGTTAAAATGTGTTAAAAAAATAAATATAATTTTACCAAATAATAGATGGTATCCTGCTGGTAAACCTCACTAATAATAAGTTATCAATATTAAGAGATTAATGTAAGCACCTAAAGTAATATAATCATATAAATATTTTTAATAATATGATAAGTTGGACAAGAGAAACAAAGCAAGTTTTAATCATCGCACCAGTAAACTCACCAGTTTTTATGACACAGTAAATGAAATCAAGCCATGAGAATTTCTCAACACAGATTGAACAATCACTAACTGTATCATAAGTGATTGAGGTCAGTTATTCACTAAGTAATAAGTAGGTAGGGTAATCTAATTACACCTATAACATATTAAGATTTTAATAAATTTATAGTTCTTAATAAGCACATTTGAATTATATTTGTTTTTTTCAATGGGAAAACTATGATATAAAAAGATCTGCTATTATATAAAATCTATAAACATTTTGTTTTTAGCTGAGGCTTCAAAATAAAAGATAAAACATTTTTTTTAAATTAATATTATTACTTTGGATAGAGATAATGCTAGGTGGGTCTATCCTATTATAAGTATTAGATTTATAGGTATTTAATATAGGATATATATACCAATTAAAAATTTTGTTAATATTTAGCAAACACAATTAATGGCCTGTGCCATTTCCTATATCATGAGTGGAAACATTTGCATGTGGATTAGGTGCTGTCAATGTGTAAAATGTAAACATGGCCGGTGTAAAAATATAATAACAACATATTGAAATAACCTCTTAATTTATATATATACATATATTAAAAAAGGGGGTCTTGGCTCCCATAGCAATCCATATTGCATTTGGACATCTGATATGTATTGTAGTGAAGAATGTAAAGTTGTATCTTTATAGCCAACATAAACATAGGTTATACACACAAACCTTGACTGTAATTGTTAAACATTCTATAAATTTGAATTGGCACAAAAAACTCGAGACTCAATACAAACCTTACTCAAAATTTTTATTACTAATAAATAATGGATGTGAAGGTAAGAAGGAAGGAACATATAATAATTGACATTTAATTAACCGTGTTACCGCATGTGTAAGAAAAACTTTGTAAAATCGCGGTTATTAAGCCGAAGTCACGCCTTCACAGCTGAGCAAACCCAAACACGGTATACAAATAAAACCAAAACCGAGCAAATTAATTAAATACATTTAATTATTTACCTTCAGCGCTCTGATTTAGCGATGATGGAGCAGCAGACGTCAACAAATTTTTCTTCTGATCGCCTTTAGGCGGATCAGAGTCAGAATCGTCGAACACCAGCGTCCTGACCGATTGGGAGCACCGACGATCCATTGCCTCTCACTACACAACACACTGAACTTATATTTTCGCCATTAAAATTTAAAAAAAATTAAAATCTCCATCACAACACAAATGAAACCACCATCGGTTTCCGCGTAAAGTGACGCTTTATTTTCAAACCGAATGTACGATTTCACTATCCACCTGTGCCATATTACATTGCGGCCTACCAGACCAAAATGAAAATACATTCACACAAATAAATACAATCAAAATGACATTTTGCGACTTTTAAAATCACAAGTTTGCCTCTGTGGTTTGAAGGTGGACTGCCAAGCGGTGTGTCTGTCGACTAACACAGTGTTACCAGTTTTAACGAGGTTGCAGTTTTATAATCTGTATTTTTAATTCATTTATTAACTTGTCAATATTTTCTCAGAAATCCCAATCCAATACGTATCATGTTGTATGAATTCTATGTAGTAATGTATAAAATGTTTCAGCTCAAACTAAGAACTAGAACGATAATTTTTATAATCTATTTAAAAAACAAATACTAATTCAACTACATTATATATAAAATAATGAAAGTTTCTGTAGTACCATAAATTAGAATATTTTTAACAGAACCACTAATTACATAATCTATATAAAATTTATTTAAATAAGCTCCACCAAACGATTAAAAATGCAACTATTTCTTAAATGTCGCCAGTTATAATACATATAAAGAAAATAAAGTTGCTATATTTTGACGATACAATTATTATAAGAATATCTATATATTAGAAAAAAAAATCAGATTATAAAATTGTCCTTTTTGATGTTATTTTTATAGAAAGGGTAAATTTGGGTCTATAAATAGGTTTCAAATATTAATTTATTAAACCACTAGTAGTGCCATCTATTTTCTGACTCCTATCAAATTGTAGATTTTCCTGTCAAAAGAAACGGAAAAACACGAGTGTGCGTCGCCTTTACTAGATATCAGCTGAATTATTCGGCTAAAATGCCCTGGCACGGGCATACGTAGTCACGTCGGTCCGCTCATTACGACGCAGCCGAGACATCGTTTTCCGTCGTATTTAGTTAAATATTTTCGTTGGTATAAATGAGTTTGTATTCACTAGGTTGTTGTGGTGTGTTTCCTCAAAAAAAAAACCCCCCCCCAAAAAAAAAAAATTTTTTGTGGGGTGGGGGTGGTTTGGTTTCTTTCTTAATAAAAAAAAAAAATAACCGAAACTCATTTGAAAAAGCTAAAGTAATCGGTGACTACATTCTTAGATGCGTTGATTGTGATTTAGCATATATAATTACAATGTAAGTTTCCATAATAAGTATAAAGTACATAATATGTTTTGTTTCGTATAACCTTTTTTTTTTCTTTTTTTTTTCTCTCTTTTTTTTTTTTTTTTTTTTAAAATTATTTTTTTTTTTTTTTTTTTTTTTCTTTTTTTTTTTTTTACTTTCCTTTTTTCTTTCTCAATATTTTTTGGTTATTTGTTTTTTTTTTTTTTTTTTTTTTTTTTTTTTTTTTTTTTTGTGTGTTTGTGTTTGCCCCCCCCCCAGCCAAAGTATGAAATTTTGCCGTACGAGGACAAGACATCGACGTCTGGCAACCCTGACTAGATATCAGCTGAATTATTCGGCTAAAATGCCCTGGCACGGGCATACGTAGTCGTCGGTCCGCCATTACGACGCAGCCGAGACACGTTCGTCGTAAGACACGTTCGTCGTATTTAGTTAAAAATTTTTTTTTTTTTTTTATTTTTTTTTATAACGCTCATGAGCTAAGTAATCGGCTTCTTAATGCGTTGGATAGCAATTACAATGTAAGTTTCCAAAGTATAAAGACAAATACAGCCAATATGAAAGCCGGAGATTTGGAAACGGTCTGTTCGGGCCTGTGACACCCGACTCGAGTAGCGACACCCCCTTGGGAGGCTGTATAATGTATCTAAGTGCTCAACACGGCCGTCAAGGCTGAATTATTACATTCAACAGTAGCAGTAGCACGTGTAATACGAGAATCGTTGTGGAATTATAGTGTGTGTTACAATACGTGAGCGTTGCGACTGATGTTCGGGGCCACTGACGTCGTCAGCTCACCTCTCGTCCCTCCGTCCCTAGTGCCAAATGTTTTGCAATGTGAAAGTGTGGAATTGTGCCACGCGTGTTTTTTTCTTTTAATTTCTGGTTAGATATAGTGAATTTTGCCCTGATAGATTTCGAAATGAAGTATAAAAATGTTAGATCGTTCGAAATGACCTTACATGATCGCTTTGAGAGTCAATGTTTGCAGAACGCTTGGCTAGTTTATGTCGAATGTATTACAGGATTCGATGTAATGTTATTCTGTAGAGGGTGCATTTTAAGGTCAGTTTAGTTTTACAAAAAGCTGCAGGACACTAATTGGTCAGGCATGTGGTTTTTCCTATTTATTATGATCTCTAATTTCCTAACATAACAAATATATTATTAACTTAAATCTTACAAAACAGTAAATATCTTTTTATATTATGTAGGATAAATTATTGATAAATTGGAAGTGTATTATTGCGTAAAATATAACCCCCTATGAACTTAGTTTTTGCTCATCTCTGGTCATTACTCTGCTGATGTACAATGACCCTTTCATTAATAATTCAACAGGAAGTGGTAGAAGGGTCAATTGAAAATGGACACAATATTCCTTTTCCTATGAGTACCCCTTGCTTAGGTTATAAGGTTATGAAAAAGGGATGTTATACTCTCCATGTGGTCTCTTTACAGATCTTTAAATTTTAATTTCAAGTTATTTCACAATACAATGTTATAATTTTCAAAAACCACCAAATGCATTCAAGATATATAGTTATTTAATACCTAGTTATGATATTGATATGCATATTCAGTTCTACCTACCACACTTAAAATATTATGTACAGCTTTTTCATAGCTATTATGTAATATAACAAAATAAAGGTTTTGGTCTGTGCAACGGGGAGCTGTTAACACTTAAATCATAATTTGTAAATTATCACTTCAAGTTAAAAAATAGATTTATATTTTACCTTACCAAAAACTTACAATAACCCTGCCTATTTGTTATGTGGCAAAAGTTGGAAACATTTTTTGATAAATTTAAAGATACTGGTTGTAATGTTTCCAGAAATATAATTAATTATATATCTTTAGTATCTGTTATCATATCAAATCATTTAATATATACAACTTATGATACAATCTATTTGTAACTTCATAGTATAGATCAATAAATTTTCAATTTTTAATTTATACTTGGACTAGGACTTTAAAAGTCCAGCCCAGTCTGAACTCCACTTAACAAAAAATGGGTCTAGTATTATGCCAAACGTCAAAAGGTCCAGAATTGACTTTTTCAGTGATCCTGTTTTTTTGTTAGTACTTATATTGGCCTTTAACATCTTCATCTATACAAAATTTTAGTTTGCAGAAGACTAAAAAACCTACAGCTTAAAAATTACAATTATAAATTTTCTGAAATCATGATGAAAGTCTTTTAATGACTTCTTTTATTTCTTTATAATGATTGTAGCAAACACACACCTTTGAAATTCAAAACTATTTTTTCACTGATAAGAATTGAATGGATTTGTTTTGATTTAGTGGTCAAAACTAAAATCATTCATCATGACTACTTTCAACTTGTGTTATTACTTAGGTTATATTTTATTTGACTAATAATTTTCAACCTACTCTTTAAAAGTGATATAATTTAGGTTTTTTGTTTACATAGAAAAAGATGATTTTTACAGGTAGATGTATTAAGTATGATATTGGTATCAAACCAAGTATATCTAAAGTAAGGAGTGTGCTAGATCTTGTACCTCTTAAATAGATGACATTTTATCCTTATTGATACATTTGTTGCAAGGCTTAAATATAAAGAATAGATTAAGTGGAAAAACGCAGCCTAGACATGAACTATAAAATACTACAATAGTACATGTTATTGATTACTTGTGTCAATGTACAGAACTTATACATCCCTGAGTTGAGTAAAGGTTCTTGGAACTACTTGAATTGAATTTCAAAGCAATTTCTTATGCAACTGTTACATCACTCAAAAATTATTGTTTAAGTAACATAGTTTTGAAATCATTTATTTCAATTTCTACTTCTACCATCTAATAACTGTACACTTGAAATTAAATTTTAATCGGTGCTCCTGGTTGGTCAAGAAATATTATGTTTAATTGGAAGGTTCTCTCAAGCAAAACTATAATTGGAGCCACAGAAGACTGATTATCTTCACTGTAGTAAAAAAGATTTTTACTTACTCTAATACATAAAAAAATATTTTTCCAAAGATTTGTAAAAATATTTTGATTCATGAGAATTTTTATAAGTTCTCAACACAATTCCACAACTATTCTTGGTACATCCTATATGTAATATGATAAATTGAATTTAGCTACATTTATTATTTCAATATTTAGAAGATAAATTTTATTTAATTTGCAGGTCGTCGACATGCAAGCAGTTAATGAAATTATATCAATTTTGGAGAAATTCAATATTACAAAAGAGCTGTTGGAGGTAAGTAATTTGCATTATTTTCCAACTAAATACTTGCATAGTCATTTATGGCAAAATTAAAGTTACTCCATATTAACGTAGGTAAATACCCTAAATCAATTAAATTATTATAATAAAACTGTTTATTACCCATATACTATTTTTAATTTATAAAGTACCAAAGTTTATATGAAATGTACAAAAACTATAATTTTTCAATCTTATACATAACTTTGACATTCATATATTTACAAATATATAAATGAATTCTGTTAAATTTTTCTGGTTTAAATTGATTTTTACTGGAGAGCTTGATTAAATGGATGAAAAGAGACAAATCAATGATTTTGTTAAAATGTATAGGAACTGCTTTAATATTTTTATGAATACTTCTATTTTTAATCTACATAGGAAATTCAAAAAGTGAATAGTAGTATGATTAAAAGAGAAAACTAATAGTATACTTATAATTTTTATTTTATTTAAATAAAAGAAAGTGTGAGGATTCTATGCTGTATTAATTATTTAGACTCCATAATCTCAAAGAAACAAATAACAGTACTATGCCATTCAGGTAAATGTCATTGTGAAAACAGTGCTTTTGTCTATCTATTATGAATAACAATGAATAATTTGAGACCATACTTTTCCAAAAATCCTATGGCTACCTGTTCCTACTTTTGTTTTCAAATTGCACTATTGTTATTTGTACCCTTATTGTTTATAACCCATAAAGCGGGTTTGTTCTGTTAGGTCAATACTTCTACATTAGTATTGGCTTTTTTCGCAAATAATTAAGTGAATTGCTGTAACCTGTTACAATAATATTACTTTTTCTTTTCAAGTCGCTTTTTATACATTATTTTTACACTATAATCTTAGGTAATAATGTACAAGTTACACTCTTTTAGTATTTTATAATATAAAAGTAACTCTCATCCGCTAAGATATTTTCTTAACTTTTTTAACAATTAACAATATGATTTCAGACCACCCGATTAGGCAAGCACGTGAATGAACTGAGGCGTAAGACTAGCGATCCCACACTCGCTCGTCGCGCCAAGGTGCTCGTCAAGAGATGGCGGGATCTCGTTATACCTGCTGTAGCGTCGCCAGCTCACGCCGGTAACTGATAAATAGTATTCTAACTTTTTAGGATGTGTCATTCTATTTATTGTTTTTAATAATTAAATATTACAAATTTAAAGAGGTGATTATTAACTTCTTAGACTGTCATAGAAGTCTTTTGGCATAGATAAATTATGTTTAAAATCTCCTAATAGTATACCAATTCTCTCTTAGCCTCAAAAATCTTTCCTACTGAGAAGATCTTGAAGATTTAATTTTCTCAAGCACATATCACTTTGCAAATATTTTTTGTGACAATTGATGCTAATGGTACGTTTATAAATAATACAGCTTGTATATAAATTATAGGTTCCAACCGATCTTCAGCAGAACGAAGCACTCGACGACCTGGCGGCACCCCCCTCACCTCGCCGGCTCTTATTAGGGTAAGTGAAGAATGAACCAACTAATAATAAAAACGCAAAAATGCTCATCTGGAAAATATTGTTCTGCTAGTTTTATTAATTATTTGGATTATTTTGTCCAGGCACAAATCGCACGCTTTTTTTAACGTTTCGAGGCTTTAATCAAGAATAAAAAATTAAACCTCACCTATCTAAATCATTAATTTAAAACTTAATCGGAGTTTAATATAAAAATTAGTGACATACAAAGTGTTCAAGGAACTGAATGGGGTGATTTAATACGTGAACTAAAAGTAATGCCGTATTACCTTTATTGCGCTGGTTTTTTTTGTATCAAAATTGTAACAAACTATGTTTAGTCCACGATGTATGGTATAGCTGATACCCGAAGGGTCGAGACTTAGCGCAAACTATGACCCCCAAATTACAAGTGTATTTTATTTTGATATACTGTATACATATAGAATTCAGTATTGAACATGTTAAAATTATCACTTAAATATTGGACTGATTTATTGACCTTCCTAGTTAATTTGCGTTTTGATAACAGATCGTTAATATTTCAGCAAGGTTTGAGTCCCGCCGTGCCCAGCCCACGACTGCCGTCGAGGCCAGGTAATTCACACTTTTAAACTAATACATCTTAAATTTTAGGATTTTTATGTCTATAAACTAATTTTGAATAGTGTAAAATATAACCTAACATCCCAAATAAGTAATACAAGGGTTCCTTGAAAGGTATCGGTCAGAACACAAATTTTCTTATTATCAGTGATAGTTGTACATCAGTAGTTTTAAAAACTCTCTTATTTTGACAGCATGGGGCGGTTACGAGTCAGACTCCCAGGATGTAATCCTGGTGGATGACGACCCACCACCACCACCACCTGTACTCACACACGCACACAAACCTGCTACGCCGCGTAAGTGTACACAAACCTAGATTGATTACTAGTTTTGTAATCACATTTTAACATTTTTATTTAAAAATCTGGAAAACAAGTACAAATCTATTTTTATGGTGATTTAAATTACTGTAATTAGTAGTGTGATGTAGCGTATGTGTGTGTTTCTAGCCGTGAAACGCGCACTCACTCCAGAGTCAGTCGATGACGACAAAAAAGCCAAACGGGACAAGAAGCTCAAAAAACGAAGGTACTTCTGTTATATATTTTTTTCTAATAGTACGAGAGTTGCCAATCATATTTGTTTAATAGTAGTAGCGCCATCTATGTATCACCCTACAAACTTTTCAGCCCAGCTAATATATTCCTTCGGGACTAAGAATTTACTGAGTTGTCCTAGCCTCTTGCTAAGAAATCAGTCAAATTATTGTTTTTTGAAGTTATACTTCTTTAGGCGCGTTATGAAAAATTTATGAGAGTGAAATTTTACAATGCGCGCGGACCCGTGACACAAAATTAGGAGTGTGATTATAGCGTGCGCGAGCGAGATAGGAATAAGACAATCTACAAGTAAAAAGAAATAGAATATGCGTGAAGTTCGTATGCCAACAATTTTGAATGACCATAATGACATTTGTCATTTACCTTTTAAACAAATAAAGGAATTTTAATTATTTTTTCAAAGAAATTTAGCGATGCTTTTTGAATTATAATCAGAAGTGATTTAAATTGACTATTTAAACCAATACTAATTAATATTTGTGAAAAAACTGTGCTCATCAACCTTCCTAAGTGCTTCACTACAATTGAGGTTAACTATCCGTATGTATTATTATTGTTATCGAGTAATGTTTTGATTAAAAAATTAACCACATTGTTTAATCAAAACATGGAATTTTTCTGATTTTATCTAGCAAATATAAGGAAAAGAGACAAAAAACAATTGATGAATCAGTGTAACTGCACTAAATTGAATACAAAAAAAGAGTTTTCATCTTATCGCTGTGAAACATCAAAAACTGGAGGTGGAACAAAGCCAAACTATTTTTAATGTTGCCAAAGAAGTATAACTTCTTACGCGCGTACATAAGTACACGGACCCTTTTTTTTTTTATCTTGCACCACTCACAGTCAGTCTGAGAGCCAAATAAGTAGCCTTAATCAATTCAAAATTAATATGAACGAATCTCTACATGATTATAGATTTATTACATAACGTTGGACATCTCTTTCACTTAACAATAATCATATATTCATAGGGGTCACGGCAGAGCTGGTTCTGGCGTAGAAACGACAATACCAGCAGTCCCTGGGGTGCCCCAAAGCCCGGTAGGCATCCCAAATACCACAGCATCGCCCGCGGCCAATAATGCTTGGCCGTCCAGAAATGGATCTGGCCCGGAAAGGCGGAAAAATGGCTGGAGAAGGGATAAACCGGACCCATATGCTGCTCTGGTCAATAGGATACCACCAGCTGGTGGCAAAAAGGTAACAAGAAAATAATTAAACCGTCATTTTGTATCAAACACATCCAAGAAGATAAAGTTATACCGTATATAAAATTAAATATCCTCGTTTATAATAATTTAATAATATTAAAGTTAAGTTATAATAGATAATATTAAAAGTTGTTATTTTATAAAGCTCACAATGGATTTCTAGGTAAAAACGACAGCAGAACTGCTGGAGCAGATCCAGTCACGGACGGGGGGCAAAGCTAGTGCACCCCCCTCGCCCAATTCTCCTCACTCGCCTGACGTCATGCTAATAGAGCCCGACGGTATGTTCTTTTCTATATGAATTTATTACCACCAAAAACATGCAATTATTTTACTTATTAATTATTACAGTGAAAGAATTTATTATTAGTTTTATATAATAGATTATTTCACTGACACCTTTCATAACTGTTTCGTCCATACATTTCAGAACCACCAGTGAGCGTGGATTCGCCCTTGCGGAATGGGGAAAGCGAAGCCCCCCCAGAACCTCAATGGCTTATTGAGCCCCTCGAGGACGAGCGGGAATGGGCCCCCTGTATATGCGACCCGGACGTAGGACCCGATCCCGCTTGTCCGGCCGACTCTCCCACCATCGTTCAGCCGGAACACGTCCACGCCCTGCATCACGCCTATCTCCCTGGGGTCAATGGCACCCGCGCCCCCCTCCACCCTCATAAGTTCGCAGTTCGACCATCCATCGACCCCCAAGACCCTACTCTCTTCTCGACAGTCGTCCCCCTCTATAATTATTCAGACTACGCTAACGATTTCTGTGTCAAGAATATGTCTCGGCTCCCGCTATGTCTGCATATTCCCGCAACAGAATTTGCCCCCTCGCCTCCTTCGCCTCCACCCAGACCACCACCACCCTCCCCCCGACCTTACCCCATCGAAGACGTCAAAGTTGAAGATGAGGCCTCGTCACCTAGTCTTATCAAAACTGAATCTGAAATAGAAACAGACATAAAGCCAGAGATCAATGAGAGGTTGAATCCTTCCCCGACCCAAAATGTTGATAAAGAGCCAACGATAGAAGTTAAAGAAATTAAAGAAGAACCACAACAACAGTTCTCTGTCACATCCCCAGGACACAGAACAGTGGAAAGAACGAAAGAAAACAATGAAGGTCTCAGTGATCCCATTGAGGATCAAATGGACCTGGATGTCAAAGAAGAAAAAGTAGTGCAAAAAGTTTTAGAACCAGCTACTGTCAATCTAGACGGTAGGACTTTGTATGAAAACTGTGTGTCTTGTGTAAATTCAGTGCCGTTTAGGTATGAGAACGCGTCGTGTGCCCCAGTCCTGACGTTTCCTAGGGAAGATGTGTCGGATAGTGTGAAAAATGCCTTAGAGAGCGTTGAAACTGAGCGGGATGAGATAGGCCGGCCCGTTAAAGCTACGCACTTCGCGGAATGGCACGAGTGTGCGAAGCTCGGTGACCTGATAGCCCTTCCGTACGTCGTCATCGACTGACCAAAGCCCAAAGCTTCCGGTGTTCCAAGTGTCCTTAAACTAGGTATAAGTGTACATAGTGAGTGACTCGAATACACTCAGTTTGAGATGAGGACGTGCGTAACTTCATACAAACTGAGTTTGGTTACGGATTTTTATAGTCTATGACATGTTGGTTTGTGTTACATGAGCAGGTTTTCAATGAGACTTCTTTAAATGTAACCCGTCTCTGCTGCCTAGACTGTCCCTAATTTAGATGTCCTAGGATTCTTTACATATTTTTTGATAATGAGTTGAGTAAAAATGTGTCTGCACTAACTATGATTTATATTTGTAACAAAGTTTCAAATTCATTCATACTTATCTCTTGCAACATATCAGTACTATAAAGCTAAAATGTAAAGCATAAATTCTAGAGATATATATAAAATTAACAATGGTATTGAAGTTGCTCGTGTAACACAAAGTGTTAATTTCCAAAGTGGTGTGTTGTGATATCGGGCCGGCCCGAGACTCGACAAAATCTCTAGACTGTTTCATTGAGTTATTGTTACCGATTGTGATTTATAATGAATTAGGTAATTATAGGAGTTCCAATTGTATATTATACATATATATTGCTATATCAAGTCAAAATATCAAATAATTTATTGACCATTGTTGGATAAGGGTGTGGGAGGTTTTCGATAAGGTCATTTTAAATGCAAATATTGTGTTCCGAATAATGCGAAAATTATTAGCTCAGACAAAAGACGCAGTCAATTTTTTTTTATCATTACCGTGGATCAGTGCCAAAATCAAGATTTTTTTAATCGGGATCAAATTGACACGATTTATAGTACATCCAAAATACTATTAATAAACTTATTTTATTAATATCAAGAACCTCCCACAAATAAAATGGTTTAATATATTTTCAATATGCTGCAAATTTAGGTAGTCGAGCCCCGAGCCTAATAGGTGTTATGATTTTGAGCCTGCTAATATTTTTCTCTTAAAACTTACATCGTAATCAGAATTTCAATTTATTGTAATATTTAAAATCTTAGTGTTGTCCACAAAGTTAAAGTCACAATCGTCTTATGTTACTGTGTAACAAATATATAATTAATGCAATCATACATCAAGGTTATGATAACTTAAAAAAAAAAATATTTCAAGGCCCACTTCTGTTTGTGTTGTCAAATGTTGTTAATGGTTCGGGGCCAACACGACTTAATGGGTCCGCAATAATCTCGTATGTGCCACATTCTGTGCCAGATATTTTATCATGTCTGTCTTGTAGTCGCTGCTTAAAAACAAGATTGGGATTTTACATAAATATCTAGTTTGTGTTTCAAAGTAACTTCGATGGACCAAAATGTATTCTAATCTAGATTTTTTATTCAACAAACCGGTTTTCTTTTAATGACTATACGAACTTGAAATGTTGTGATTTTTAAAAAATTTGATATGAATTTTGTATTTTCCCTTCAAACATTTTTAATAACACCTTTTCTTGTATACCTTGCTTTTTTCACGACCAGAAAATCTAGTGTTTTAAATAAAACGGCTTTAAAATCGTAAGTTGCTTATTATTTTCTTCTTAAAAAATGTACACATTAATAAAGTTGAGTATATTTTTGTAATATGTGACAGTTGTCAAATCATAACAATAAGATCCCATTTTTGTTACTTAACAGCAGCATACATGATCAATCTTCAGGCGCTTTTGGAGGAAAACCGATAAATTTCTATAGAAAATTATTTGAAAATATTCATATCATATGCTATTTTTTGTTACACTGACCAAAATGTAAATACCTCTAAAAGTGCCTTCTTTTATAATAAGATTTGTCCAATGTTAAACAGGCTGAAAATTAACCGCACACACAGTACTATTTGTTGTCTTATATAAACTGTTGCTCCGCTTCCTACAATATTAATTATGAATATATTGAAAATTTCGTAAAAATAGCCGCTAAAGTATTGTGTGTGCGGTGAACGTATATATATATTTAGTGTATAAAAATTATTCAAAGATTTCCAAATTGTTTTAGGTTAAAACCGATTGACATTTTTGCAATATTGTTATGTATATATGTTTGTAATTTGTTTTTGATTTACGTCTTAGTGTTTTTTGTTAAATCAATTTGACACACACCTTAAGGTATAATATGTCAAATCTGACATAACTCAGTTGCATAAACACTTCAACTATGCAAATAATAATGAATCATTAAATTGGTGCTTTCCACATTTTTCTTGTTTATTTTCGTTCTATTTTTTTAATCCCATGAGAAATACAACTATATTAATCACAAAAAGCGCCATATATTTCTTAAAAAAGCATTGTACGGCTGATTTATTTACCAATTGCCTAATTTGTTTAAACAAATAAGGTAATTAAATATAAAGATTATTTATTAAATTTGGCTAATAACCAAAAAAATTGCTCAACAAATGAATAATTGTAAGTTGTTAGATAGATTGTATAGTGATTTTATTGCACGTATGGTTTTTAATGATTCTGATTTTTTCTTTCATTTTTTAAATTAACCTTTTTCATTTCAGCTTATTTGCATAAATGGATGGCTTTTTTAAATTTAACGTTCGTGCTTTCATTATCATAACGATTGTATCGTGGTTTCTATTTTAGAAGTTTTGGTACTGTTAAATTGCTGGTAGAAATAGATAAGCATTTATAATGATATTGTTATTCATGTTTAAGATAACTGTATAGATATTTCAAATAATAATTTTAACAAGTACAATCTATAATGTTTACTCTTTTAGTAGACGGCGTTGAAACAAAATTGCAATTTTTTTGAAGTATCTATAATCTATCCCAATTTTTATAATTTATATTATTTAGCGGACCCATTAAGAGATTGTCTAAAAACGCCTTACGTATATGCGCGGGTGAGTCCGGTCGCGGAGCTTGTATAGATGACTGTAACCCGGAGACTGCCTAGATGGACTTGATCCAGATTTTTGGTAAAATATAAAAGGCAAAATATATGTGTTTTTATTAAGACTACACGTTTTATTTATCTCCCAGTTCTAATATATCGAAATGTATTTTTGTCTACCTGTTTTGTACAAGAAATTAACAAAAGAATTGCAAATTCTTTAAGATAATGCTGCTTGCTTTAAAAAGTACGCAAGCAAAAAAATATAATCACCAAGATCTACTGTATGATCATATGTAGTGTCTGTAGATATAGATGCGCTACAGACACTACATATGAAGTCCATTGGCACCTTCGTTATATATATATATATATTTAATTTTACTGAACGTGTGTAATGTGTACATGTCACTGGAATGAATTTTTGTATGCGTTGGCGGGTGGCGCCCTGGATGGTTTAGATTCACAAATCAGCCCGGCAGATGGCGCTGCAGTCGGAAAATATCATGCAGGACAACGACTGTCGGGTCCGCTAGTATTATATATATATTCCAAGATCTACCTCCTTACTCTTGATGGAATACTTAAATTACAGATATTTAGTACCTTTCCAAATAAGGGGTTGCTGCCTGCTCGAGAGCTATTATTTATTAGATGGCGTTTTAAAGGCATTTTATTTTCTTTGAATGCCAGTATATTCTCTAATGATGGGTGTTTGTGTGTGGAATGTTTTTATCTCATTGCAAGAGGTGTTCTTGTTTATAAATAGAACAATTTGTTAATATATCTTTATTAATAAAAAATATAGTTAAGACATAGACAACGTTCATAATAATGAATGGCACACCGTTAATGCTTTTATACAGCAAAAAAAATATCAGAATACATATTTATGAAAATCATTAAACGTTTTACGGTAATATAATTGTTACGACAAATAAAAAATATATACTTATTTTGTACGGATCTTTGTCAATACCAATGTTTTCTTATTTTTATATGATTTAATATTAATTAATAAATATATTTTAAACTGAGATTCTTAGCTTATATTTATCCTTATACAATTAGTCATTATATATTTGAAATGGCAGAGTTAACACTAATATTAATTACAATTATTAATTGCGCTGTATACAGCATGTTGAAATTAAATGTATTATATAGTTGAATTTAATAAAAATATTTCTTGAAAAAATCTTTTGATTTTTTTTTTGATCATCTTACATCAGAAATTATTCAAAATTGTCAACAAAGAACTATTCATAATAGATGCGTACCATTTCTTTAAAATCGAAACATACAGATTTATAAGATTTTTTGATTCGAAAGGCACTTGCGACGAAACACTTTGAAGTATAAATGTCACTGGTAAAAATAAGTTACGAATTTAATTTTAATAGCTTTGAGACGCGGTTTTTTACCATTAAATTTTCGATCCGATTAATCAATTTAAGAATACATAACAAACCAGTTTTAATCACATCACAATCCCGTTGCAAATTTTTTATTCCGTTACAAATATGTGCGTATGAACGTACACGTATACGCAGGATTACGTATACCGGTAGAAAAATTCGCGTCTAAGTATTAGTGGTTAAATCACAAAATAACACAGGGCATAGCACAGCAGAGAGGCAGACAGACAGGCACTGCTGTTTTCGTCTCGCTGCGTTTTTCGCGAGATTTAGCTCCAGACTCGTATTCGTACATCGCGCGGCCTGACGCGTACTGACCGCCACCAGCTTGCATTGCCTAAGGAATGGAAATTAATTATATAATCTCTGGTAAATTCTGGGAAAGCGAGTTTTTTGCATTCTTTTCTTGAATTAGAAGAGGAAATTATATCAAGAGTCTTGTGTAATATTATTTATTTCCGACCAATTATGCTAGTCTATTTAGTACTACTTAACTTCGCTAGAGTTTACGTGGCGGTTGAGAGTTCGCGCATATATTTTTAGTATGACAAGTCAAGTCAAGCTATCTTATTTGACGGACATTTTACAAATATTTAAACAAACGAAGAAAATAAGTTTTCAGTTTGAAAGTACTGTACAAAAATCTTCAAAATTTCAGTCATAAGTTGGTGTGGCTTATTTTTTAGACGATTTTTTTCAAAGCACTTGTACTTTCGGAGCACAAATCCGATAATACTCACGCTAGCCTGATATCCAGAATCCTTGTTGACGAATGGCGTGTGACCAGGAGGGTAGTACACGGCTGGACCAGCCACGTTCTTACTGCTGCCCACGGGCGCAGCTTTGGTTTGAGCGGATTGTGTCTCCCGTGATACTTCTACTTTGCGCTGAGTTATACCGTCCGGTTGTGTTGGAAAACGCTGAAAAGATATTTGGGTTCTATAAGAGTAAAATCTTGAAAATTTATTCACTTAGGTATTGTACAAAATATCTTTACAGACCTTCCAAGGGTTTTCAATCTACCCTTTTGACCTCATTTGTAAGTTTTAACGCATATTTATTTCTTTAATCCGATATAAATGATAGAAATAAGGGTTTATACTAATGATTTTAGATTTCTATTTAACCGTCACTTTTTTATCTGCGAGTTTTTGCAACATTTTACATTAAATTTGAATGTGCAATATTTGTTTTTAATTATTTTATACACATAACATTGAAGTTATTTAGGATTAGATACAGATATCTAAATCCCGATGAAGAACTATAGCGACACTGGATTTTTTTTATGTATGTATAAAGATATAAGGTTTTAATTACTTACCGCTTCGGGAAAATCTGCTAACAGATCATCCAGCTTCTTGGGGGGCTGTTGCTGGTTAGAGGGGGTTGAAGGGCGAGGGAAGGGAGGGGTGGGGGAAGGGGGTGCGAGGGAGTGGGGATGGTTGCCCACCGGAGAGGGGGGGAATCGCTGAGTTGAATTTTGGCTGGAGTAGCTCGTCTCCGAATACTTGTATGAGGTTGGACCCTGTAAATACGTTGGACAATTAAGTCCTTAATTATATTATGTGCATTTGTTTGGATTCAGATTTTATATTGATCCGGTATAATTCAACAAGAAATTTAACTACTAGAGTCTGGCTAATGAAAGAAGATAATTGAATTATTTGAAAACTTTCGGATGGCAACACAGAATGTCATTGAATTTCTTACGTTAGTATTATTTGTTGTATTGATACTTCATGCAATTACTCATTTTTATTTCTATTATATATTTTTTCCGAATAGTTAAAGAGGTATAATAGCCTAAACTTTGTTTTATTTGATATAATATTTAGTTTCTCTCGCAAGATTTGATTATTCCGAATAAAGTTGTGTTTTATAATATATATAGTTTTAGTTTTCTATGCAATGCTAGTCATTTTAAGTGTCAATAGTAAAAGACTAAATACGTATAGTATTTAATTTCTATACTATCAATGTAAAAAATAATAAAATAAAATCAAGTATCAAAGAAGTTTAATCCACAAAATATATATAAACTTTTAGGAATACCATACTATTTTTTTTTAATTTACCGCGCTTTTTCGTTATCTTCTTTCATTAGCCATATTATAGATAGACTCTATATAATTATTTTATTTTAATAACTATGTATATAATCAATAAAATATATTATTATTTCTATTAATAGGCAATTAAAAACTAATACTCACATAGGGGCCGGGTCCATTGTGCGGTTCGGGATGCAGCTGTTTTGAGTCGTTGGGGGGGGTAGGGTAAATCATTCGCTCATTTGTGTGATCTGTGAAAAATATTAAGGTCCCTCCAATTAAAAATCTACTCAAATGTCTCATTGTGGTCATACACAATTAGATTTGTCACAAGAAAACTCATTAGACATTCGTTTATATAGAAAAAAAATCTTAGTTGTAATTTTTTTTATTTGTTAGTTTTAAGTTTTAGCGGTGAATTGATTTTACATAATTCTCATGTGTTATCTATAATTTAAATTTGTCAAAAAATATTAAACTTTATATGAAACTCCTACATTCAGCTCCACAGCAAGTTGACTGAGGTGCTGACAGTGAGATGATTACATTGCCCCAGAACAAAAGAAAACGAACTAATTTTAATAAGTGGTAATTCGTTGCGGTCTTGGAGCCGTCGTGTTATATTCAATTCAACAAACAACCTTTTAACAACTGCTAAAATTATTATTTTCGGGGGAGCTAAGGGGGAACAAACGCGCCATCACTAAAACGTCAAGTCAAACTTGACAGCCTGTATCAAATAAATATTGGTTACAGTACACTCACCTGTGGTGTGGGTACGGTACTCCCGGATTCTTGTGTTGCAATGAGAACAGTACTGGCATCCGGGAATTGGGGACGGAGCTGGTCTAGGCAGAGTGCCCGTTGAACTTGACGTCGTGCTGCAAGAATGTGTAGAAGTAGTATAGTAATATAATAATAATCAATGGCACTACAAACTTTTTAGGTCTGGGCCTCAGATTTCTGTATCTGTTTCATGATCATTTGGTAATCTAATAGGCAAGTAGGTGATCAGCCTTCTGTGCCTGACGCACGCCGTTGACTTTTTCACCGTTCGAGCGAATGAATGCGCACATAGAAAGAAACTCCATTGGTGCACAGCCGGGGATCGAACCTACGACCTCAGGGATGAAAGTCGCACGCTGAAGCCACTAGGCCCCCTGTATAGTATAGTAATATAATATTTTTTTTACTTTATTGTGTTTTAGTAGTTTTTACATAAAAACCAGCGCTACAATCTTTTATGCCTGGGCCTCAGATTTATATATCTGTTTCGTGATTATTTGTTTTTCCAAATAGGCAAGTAGGTAATGGAGTTTTTGGGTCTAAGGCATGCCTGTTTCCTCACGAAGTTTTCCTTCACGCTAAGATAAGACACGCTGATGCCACTAGGCACTGCTATGGCGGCCAATAACTGTGTTATATAATAATTACTCTAAAACAGAACAAACATATTATAGACTATTAATATTTTGGACTGATTTTGCGTGATTTGCGTTTACGTGACCTTGCAGGAAAGAAAACACCTAAAAATAATCAAATTCCTAAAGAAATTCTACGTCTACATACTTGTGATGCTCTTCAGACACATAAGTGTGGCTATGATCGGCGTGTGTCGGCAATGGCACTGTTGTTGGGTCCTGATCAGCGGGTACTTCGTACGTGTACGTCTTTACGGTCGTGGTCACTTTGTTCATGGGAGTACTGGAGCGAGAAAGCTGATAAAAAAAATAGATTTTAGATATTATATATATGCTTTATTGGTTTAGATAAGGGACTCTGTAATTATTTTAAGCTAATTAGGCTGCACCTTTCTTGGAATAAATATCTCAATTAATCTTTTCTTAAATAGAGAACTCCCCATAACGATAGTGACTCCATTATGGAGTTTTTGTTCGCAATCCCAAGGTTATGATAGGGTCCTTCATAAAAGGAGCGTAACAACTCTTAAAAGGCCGGCAACGCACTTGCGAGCCTTCTGGCAATTAAACATAAAAATCTTTAAGAAATTGTGGTCAAATACACTTACAGTGCCAGTGGCGGGTACGTGATGACAATTCGTACATAAAGTGGGTGGAACAGGCTGAGGTATGGCGGGTGACACCTGAGATGGAACTACGCGCGACTCTGAAATATTTTTTTTAAATATAAATTGTGTTTTATTTTAAATCTAATTGCATTAATGTATAATCTGTCCTTGAAACATCGATTTTTCTTCGAAAACGTCCCGCTAGTATTTAACTAAATCATTCAAACGGCATTCATGATTTTTATATCAAATGCGGAGCAATACTAATCCTTACAAATACGTACCTTTATGACGTCATAACCAGTAATAACTTACCACTGTAAAAATTTTGACCAAACCCATTGATTTCACATTATTTATTTATACGTTAAAAACTTATATTGCATTTTTTTCGAATTTTTGTAATATCAAATATAAATAAAAATGATTAAAAAAAATATTTTTAATTTCTAAATATTACTTTAACAGATACAATAAATAAGGTAAGGTTGCAATATGTGCCAAGCCGCCATTTTGTATGAATTATTTGTATTCAAATACTTTGAATTTAACATTTATCATTTTTTAAAGCAATATTTTAAAGCTTATTTACACACTCTTCATATGCAAAAAAAACATTCAAAACTATAATTATAAATTTATACCTGTCTTCTCTTCTCTGTACACCTCTTGGCGAATCTCTGCTGCACGGGTGACAGAAGGTGGGGGTGGACTGGAGCCCCAAGAAGAAGACTCCACTCTTTCTTCGTGTTTCAGTGTCGAGTAGCCGCTAGATGGCGCTTTGGCTGGAGTCCTATAATTAATTAAATAAGATAAAAATAATATATTAATCCTTGAAATTAATAATAAAATATTTTTTCAGTGATATTGTGTGTGGTTTACATTTTTTAACGTTTAGAGAAATACATAAATGTCGTTAATTTATGTTTAGTGACATAAAAACTAGAATACATTAATTAAAATTAACAATTTAATTGATTCTTAACTGCTATACATAACAAATTTAGTTAAAAACATTATTAATATGAGAGAACTTAAATAATATTAAATAAAGCCTATTTACCCTCTGCGGTAGTCGAATGATGTACTTTCAGCTGTGTCTGATGAGTAACCGGCTGAAATGAAACAAAAAATAAATACTATAGATTTAATACCATAACGTTATTTCATTCATTTATGGGAATATGTTTAAATTAATTTTACTTAAGTATACAATTTCATAATTCGATAAAGTCCGAAATAACCCAACTTTAATTTTCAAATAAAATGTTTTCTCATGTTTATTTATTTATAAAGAGTCTTCAGTACTTATTATACATATATTCAAAAGAATTATTACATTTATACAACAAAGTGAATGAGGTTGGAGGTTTGAATAATGCGACGTTGCCGCACGTATATAATATAAAGATTTTATATGAACAACAATTTTTTAAATGTGAAATTAATATTATTTTTATGTAAATGTATGTATGTTATATTGTATTTCAATTAAGTATTAAGTAATTATGCTCAACTTTATGAAATAATGGTTTACGCTGTTACCAAACCACTTACTTTTATACAACTGCCGTTCCTGATCCTTCTGCAGGTCATCCAGAAGAGAATCCAGTTCTTCAACGTTCTGAGTCATCTCCTTTGTCGCCTTGGAGCTTTTCACTTTGGAATAGGCTGAAAATGTTTATCGAATTTTGATACTGTCATAAATTGTTTCAAAGAATGGTTTTTCACGTTTTTAAGGCATAGAATTCTAAAATGTAGTTGAAAGCTCTTATTTACCAAACGTTTATTATTTATAATCTCTTAACAGCTTTTTGTATCTGTCTAGAGACTAAGATAAATATTTAGGTATGTCATACCGTCAGAAAGTAACCAACATATGGATGAATCGTATTTATGAAATTATTCAGGCTCTTAGTAAAGTCAGAAAAAATAAGAAAACAAGCTCCATTACTTGTGTACCTGTACTAACATATTATGGATCTCAAACTACCCACCACTAAAGCCCAGCATACAAAACTAAAGGTGTGTCAAAGATCGATGCAAAGATACAGATAGGGAAGAAAAGAATAGATAAAATAAAGAATACAGCATTAAGAACAATAACTAAGGTGGCAGATGTCACAATAAAAATAAATAAACTTAAGTGGTAATGGGCGGGGAACATGATAAGAGGAACAGAAAAGTGGAGCCCAAGACATTTGGAGGAGGAGGTGGTGAGACCAGATTAAGGAACCGCAAGTGGACTGCAGACAGAAATGGCAGGATTCGGAGGAGGCCTTTGCCAAAAAAAAGGCACACAGATATCTAGATGATATAAATATAAATGTAAAGTACAGATACCGGCAACCTTCTTGAGCATGGAAGGAGTAAAGTGGGGGAGTGAAGATGAAGGGAGTGGGGGAAAGCTTGCCCATCGTGGGACACAAACGTCAACTGATTTACCAATCACGCGATCGACATGTCACTCTCTCGCCACCGCACACCACCGCCCGCTGCCCCCCCTCTGCCCGGATACCTAAAAATCGCTTCTGCGCAGGCAAGGACATTTGTTCAAGATGTTTGCCGGTATCTGTATCTTTTATTATCATTATTATTGTTTAGGAAATTAGGTTGCATTACCAGGAGTAGAACTCGTAGTCTCATAGTTGTAGGTCCTGGTGCCAGTGACTACAGGAAGTTCCCTCTCCTGCCTCTCGTAGTAGTAGGCTGTGCTCTCAGAGGATTTCGGTTTGGTCTTTGGTGGTACTGTGTATTCCTGGATTTCATAAAGAAAATTATGTAACACACAGTTAAAATCCAACATATTTTTGAAATAAGACGAAACACCTAGTCGAATTTAAAAATCACAATAACAGAGGCAACACATCTGAAATGTTTGATAGTAGTCGGCTAAACTTAAAAAAATATGTTTATTAAGAGATCAACAAAACTATTCCAGTAAGCGTAAAGGAACGAATATCCGATCTCACTTTTTGCATAAAGGTCAATGTCCGAGGATACTCCACACAAATATAAGAAATTTCACATTATAATTCAAATTCTAAAATACGTGATGGGACTAATAAATATTTTTAACAAATCCCAGATAAATGGGTAATATGTTTCCTTCCTTACATTTCAACAAGAATAGGCATCAGTTAGTTCTATTCATCTTCACTTGTTTTTCATATGTTTTACGACTCTACTTGACACACATACTTAAAAAATTTAAATCATAAAAGTAAAACCAACCAATCATATTAATTTTTAATAATATTTTTATGTACACAAAAAATATAAAAAAAACAAAAAAATTTGGCCATAGACAAGGGGACGATATTTGGGATTCGTAAAAGAATATTAAAGCTTACTTCGACAGTATGGAAGTCCTTCCTGTCATACTTTCCGTCGGGTAACTTCTCTTCTTTGTACTCATAATGGTACTCCCTGGTTCCCAAACCACTCCTGCCTAGAGAGTCGAGCTTGCTTCCTTTTGGTAAAAGGTCGGATTTTATCATGTCTGAAAATAGGTTATTATCAAGAATTTATTACATAATACACCAATTAGTGCATTGTAGTTCTTTGTTAAAGCAAAAATTTGTTGTCATAAATTAAGGATATTTTACGTATACAACGCAAAGAAATAAATAAAATAAAAGTAAGTAGGATAGATTTTTAATATTGTCCCAATTAATCGAATTATTAAAACGTATCAAAATTTAGGTTCTACTTAAAAAAAAATTGGGTTTTTTCCCTAAGATTTTTTTTTCATTTTACAAATGCTGGTAACAGAAAAAAAATTAGATTAGATAGAAAGAAATATATATTTAGAGGGTATGTATGCACGTAATCAACTACTGCTTACCGAATTGTTCGTCGGTGTAGGGCACTGTGCCTCTACTGCTAGAAAATTCTTTATATTCCTTGTGTTTGCTGTACGATTTGGTCGCCATTGCTTATTATCTGTAAAATAAATCAAGGTATTTAATGACTAAAGTAATATGTATTCGCTATAAAATCGAATGTAGCTTTTAAGTTTGCAAGTTTTTTATGCCTATAGTCTAACATTGAAATACCATATAATAGTAAGGTATTCAGATAGGTAAACAAATTGACACGATTTGTATTTTTCTATAGAAAGCAACAGAGAATCACCAATTATGCGAGATCAACGTGGTACCTTTTCTGTAACTTCAATAAATAATAGGTTAGGTATCTTTAAAATGTAATATACCAGAATTTAATTTTTTTTTAATTTTAAGTCCATTGAAACGACTCTTTAAAACGAGCTCTTGTCATAATATTAGGTCCTTACATATGAAATTGGCGTTTTGTATGGGAGGAACAAAAAGTCGAATATTTTTAAAATATAATATATTTAATTAATCAAGTATGAACCATTGTTTTCTATGCACTTTTGCCATCTCATAGGTAGTTCATTGATCCCTTTACTAAAAAAAACAGTCGGACAGGAATCAATAAAATCTGTGAAGGCGATTTGGACTGCCCCATCAGAGTTAAATTTTTTCCCTTGCAAGAAGTTGTCCAAATTTCAAAAAAAATAGTAATCTGTTGGAGCAAGGTCCGGGGAGTACGGAGGATGTCTTAGACATTCCAATTGAAGCTCTTCTAATTTGGTAGCCGTCTGTTGTGCAGTGTGTGGTCTAGCGTTGTCGTGAAGTAGCAGTGGCGTGGAGCGATTGACCAGCCTAGGTTGTTTAGCCGCTAGCTTTTCCATCATGGTTTGCAATTGCTGACAATAGACATCAGCCGTAATAGTCTGGCCAGATTTGAGAAAACTGCAATGAACAATACCGGCACTAGACCACCAAACGCTTACAAGTAACTTTTTTGGGGTTAATTTTCGCTTGGGGCAGGATTTGGCTGGCTGGCCAGGATCCAACCATTGCGCTGAGCGCTTCCGATTATCGTAAAGAATCCATTTTTCATCACAGGTAATGATTCGGTTTAAAATACCTTCATTATTGTGCCGGTTCAGTAATGTAACGCAGCAGTCGATGCGCGTTTGCCGGTTTGCTTCAGTCAATTCGTGAGGTACCCATCTTTCAAGCTTTTTAATCTTCCCAATTTGCTTCAAGTGAATTAAAACAGTTTTATCACTAACACCGCAGCCTGCAGCTAACTCGGACGTGGTTTGCGATGGATCCTCTTCCACAATAGCCTTCAATACTTAATTATCAACTTGGGTCTCAGGCCGTCCACGGGACTTGTTCTGGAGGTCGAAATTTCCAGAACGAAAACGTTGGAACCAAAAACGAACTGTGTTTTCTTTTGCAACATGACCGCCATACACATCATTCACCCTTCGAGTCGTTTCCGCAGCACTAGTGCCACGGCGGAACTCGTACTCGTAAATAATGCGATACTTTAAGTTTTCCATTTTGTAAAATGAGTGACGCAAACAGAAAAACAGAAGAAAAAAAACAAATGAATGACGGTCATCGAAGCACAAATACATGAGTAAATAGCTGTACAAATTTGAATTTGAAATTCCTTACCAAAGAGGAGAACATCGTGATTAAAGTGGCCAATACGAAAACGCCAATTTCACATGTAAGGATCTAATATATTATAGTAGCTAAGCACAACCGACAGCGACCCGGCAGACGTTGTGCTGTATGTACACAAAAAAGACATCTAACTGTAAATTAAAACTATTCTCGAATCCACTTGAACCAACGAATTCAAAATCGGTCCAGTCATTTAGGAGAAGTTTAATTACAAACACACATATAGAATATTAGATTTACAGATTCTAAGCATGCAATAAAGGACATTAAATAAATTTGTATTAACGTTGTTCCTCCTGTTTGACCTTATACATTTGTATTCAGGAACTATGTCTGTTAAAGGTTATTTATAACCATTTTTACTTATGTTAAGAATACCTAATTCGTTTAATTTTCTTATAAAATTCAAAACACAAGGTCACTTCAATACACAAGGAACCAAATTAGGAATTTTCGGAAGTTATATTAACTAACTTTTTTACAATTAATATGAATATAAATTTAATTTTTATAATCAGCTTATAGTTTTTTAATAATGGTATTCAAATTGGATTTTTTTAATATTGCGTAAAAGCTAAATGTATAAGAAAATTATTATAGTAATGTTAGAAATTTGTCTATGTTTTTAAAATACTAAATACTTTTATAAATCGTCATATAGGTATCTGTATGCATATTCAAGGTTCTCCGGGTGACGTAATATTTTCTTGAAATCGCAATTTTATGGGCTCCACGGCTGCTTTGTATGGTAATGTTTCCGATAACAACACAAACACGGTTTCGCCAAAATTTTATCTTTCATTTCCTTTTAACAATATTTAAAAATAAACAGTTACAAATGTATCTCAATTAAATATTGTCCTTTAAGATATTTCTTAGAAGAATACTATAAAAAGAAGAAAACATTTAAATATAATTATGGAATATTATTAATTTTAATAGTACCTGCGTATCGTTTGCGACTAACCAAATCTACCTTCAATAAAAACGCCTCGCTAAAACGCGCTAACAAAGTTATTCCGTCGCGCAGTACATATAGCCCCTACAAATATTGTACTTCGGGGTCCTAGTTTCGAGTGAAGCCAGTTGTCACGCTGGTCTAATGTGGCATCAGACGCAATGTCAGCCAGTGACGATCGTCACAGTCCTATCGCTTTCACTGAGAGCTAGCCTGCTGCACAGTAGAGTACGCAGTCCATGCAGGCTTTGGGGTCGCCTCGCTCGCGGTAAATCTCACACGCAGCTCTCTCGAAACTTACTAACCACAGGTTGGTTGACCTCTTATGTTAAATACGGGAAAGATTAGCTTTATCTTATATTCCCAATTTTGAAGTTATACTTTTTTTGGCAGTTTAGAAACATTGTATGACGAAGATGCCAGTAAATTTTTGCTTCGTTTGGCGCTTTAGGAACACCGATGAGAAAAAATTTTTACCGACACCCTGAAGTTAGCATAGTCAACATTTAAAATAAGAAATGTCCATTTATTTAATTATGTAAACATTTTTTGTGTGATATTTAAATAAACTTTATTTATTTAACTAGATAATGCGTTATAATAAAACTTTCAATGTATTAAATACCTGTTAGTGACGTTTTTTCTACAAACGTAGAATAAGGCGAAAGATCAAATTTTTTTTAATATTTTTATCTTGTTACGCCAAAGAAGTATAACTTCTAACGCGTGTACATATATCAGTACACACACATGGTTTTTATTTTAATATTTTTACCCAAACATGTATGTTACATGAATTTCTTTGTTTGAAGCTAGGTCAAGTGGCTTTAAGCGTTTCATATATGAGCTCATAACTAACAAAAAACTAACTTGGCTTATTCAAGAGTTCCTAAATCTAATTGACACTTCAAGGTAAGTGTAATCAAAATTGGAAATTATCGGAAACGAGAATGTTATATTACAATTTATGAGTGTGGGAAAAACTAAAGGACTTATTGGCTTCAAGTATGCGATGATTGCTAACATTTGGTTTGCGCTTCTATTTATTAACTAAAATATATATAATATGTATCTTACCTAATGTTAGGTTACATAACTCACTGCTATACTTTTAAATTGTGTAGCTACAGTTCATTGATTTTAAATCAGAATAGATAGATATATTTATATGTTATAAATATCCTTATTTTTACAACAACGTTCTCTCGTATGTCTTACATTAAGTAAGTGTGAGTAAACGGGTAGAGTGCAATTCGTGATTGGAACGCAAATATAGTTTTAATGATTCGAGTGCAAAGGAATGTGGATTGTGTAGACATACATGAAATAGGTACTATGTAAAAATTAATTTTTATGTCAAAATCAGTAAAATAGATCTTGTTAGTTGAGTTACTTTGTATTGTATATTTTATATTTATTTAGACAACAACGTTATTAACTCATGCATAGAACGTAATAAATTATGTATATCGTGATTTATTTCGCATATGTACTGGAAAAGAGATTGACAGGTGACGGACAGGCTCGTTCTAAATAGGAACGACGCATATTAGTATACAAAGGCCCTTACTTGGTACTTGTTAACTTGAAAGGTAAGGAAATTAGTAAATAAACTATACATATAAAAAGAAGAAATACATAATAATAAATTATGAATAAGTACATTTTCTTTTTTATATAGCTTCAGCTGTTTAATTAATATATGATGTTTGTTATTAATTGTTGTATAGTCTACACTCTTTTTCTACTTTATCTTATTCAAAAATAATAAGATAGTTATGTACATTATGAAATTGTTGCACATATTAATAAGAGCACTAAGGCCCTTTCTCCACTGCTCCGGTCCGGCGTCGGATACCGGAATGAGTCATGAGAAAAATATCGGAAGGCCGGACTGCGCTTCTCCACTATATCCGATCTGACAACAATCGATACTTGTGTATTTATCATGCAACACTTATATTAACTAAAACCCATATACTTAATTTTATTAATAAAACGTTCTAAATTCTGAATATTTTATTGCCCTGACTAGTTTATTACTTTTTTTATATTGTCTATCTTGAAATATTATAATATACTTAATAAATAATTCACTAATACTATGGTATAAAAATATAAATAAATAGCAACATAATTTGGTTTGGTCCAGGTTATCCAGATTCATTCAAATTAAAGAAACTATAAATAAACCTGTGAATAATAATTCATAACCTCTTGGATATACTTGGACCGATAAAACACCGCGTTCCGATCTAGCAAGTTATCGGATCGTTAAAAACCGGATGCCGGAGTAGTGGAGAAGCAAGTAAGTACTGTTGTGAGTTTCTAAATCGGATCGGTAATTAACGTTTGCCGGACCGGAGCAGTGGAGAAACGGCCTTAGTGTTACCATAATGGATTGAATAAACAGCCGTATTATCTATATACATATATCAAAATGAATCGGCGAAAATTATGCCAT